AATGCGAGTTTTGGCTAAGGGAAGTGAGATTCCTTGATCATGTGGTGTCGACAGAAGGAATTATCGTAGAACCACACAAGGTGGATGCTTTGTTGAAATGGGAATCGCCTATCTTAGTGATAGAGATTAGAAATTTCTTGGGATTGTTAGGCTACTATTGGTGATTCATTTAGGGATTTTCACAAATTACATCTCCTTTAACTAAGTTGACCCGAAAGGATTAGCCGTATATGTAGACCGATAAGTGTGAGTCGGCATTTCAAGAGTTAAAGAAGAAACTAACATCTGCTCCAGTATTCGTTATTCCTAATCCTCAATTACCATATGTGGTTTATACAGATGCATCATTGAAAGGTTTAGGGTGCATTTTAATGCAAGATGAGCGAGTTGTTGCCTATGCCTCAAGAAAATTGTGACGGCATGAGGAGAATTACCTGACTCATGATCTGGAGTTAGTAGCAGTAGTTTTTACCTTGAAAATTTGGCGACACTATCTCTATGGGTCTATGTTTGAAGTATTTAGTGATCACAAAAGTCTGAAGTACTTAGTGGATCAGAAGGAACTGAACATGAGGCAACGTAGATGGATGGAATTTCTCAAGGACTATAACCTTGAGATCAAGTATCATTCGAGTAAGGCCAATGTGGTGGCAGATGTATTAAGTAGGAAAACGGTGCATGTTGCTCATATGATGGTTCAAGAGCATCAATTACTTGAGATTTTCTTAAATACTTAAAGGAAAGCACATCAGATGGCATTGTACAATGTGCAATAGTCATAACCAATGAATTCTGGAAAGAGTTGCAAACTATTCAGTTTGAGGATGAATATCTACTCGAGATTCATGAGGATATTGAAGAGAGGAGACCCACATAATTTAGATTCAATGATGATGAATATGTGACTTATTGGATCAGATTTGTGTGCCAAGTAATGAGGAAATAAGGAAGACAATCCTAGAGGAACCATACCATAATGAGTATACTATTCACCCTTATGTTACCAAGATGTATTAGGATATGAAGCAAATGTGGTAGTGCCCAGGAATGAAGAAAGATGTAATAGAGTTTGTGATTAACTATCTGACGTGTCAAAAGGTTAAGATTGAGTACTGAAGGCCTAGTATTATATTGCAACCACTAGAGATCCTAAAGTAGAAGTGGGATAGCATATCACTAGATTTCATCACTGGATTACCTAGAACTCAAGCAGGCTATGATGCAATATGGGTGATTGTGGATCGGTTGATGAAGTCAATGCATTTCTTGGTAGTGAAGACTACCTATTCACTTGAGAAGTACGTTGAGGTCTATGTTAATGAGATAGTGAGACTTCATAGGGTGCCAAAAGACATTGTCTCTAATCGTGATCTGAGGTTTACATCAAATTTTTTGGAGAACGTTATAGAGAGCAATGGGCACTAAGTTGAGATTTAGCATGGCCTATCATCCACAGACAGATGGCCAGACTGAGAGGACTATCTAAATACTCGAGGATATATTATGAGCTTGTACTTTAGAGTTGAGAGGCAGTTGGGATACACATCTACCGTTAGCAAAATTTGCTTACAATAATAGTTTTCATTCTAGCATTGGAATGGCATCGTATGAGGCATTATATGGAAGAAGATGTCTATCGCCTCTATGTTAGATAGAATTAAGTGAGAGAAGTTTGTTGGGTTTGAATTTGGTAGACCAAACCACCCAAAAGATCTTAACTAATTAAGCAAAAGTTGTTGACAGCCCAGAGTCGATAAAAGAGCTACGCGAATCGGCGTAGAAGATTGTTGGAATTTTTGGTTGGTGATCATGTATTTTTGAGGGTCACACCAATGATTGGTATTAGGAGATTAATAAGGGCTAAGAAATTGATTCCCATTTTTATTGGTCCCTTTGAGATTTTAGAGAAGTTGGGACCTACTGCCTATTAGATTGCCTTGCCATCAAGTTTATTCGGTGTTCACGATGTGTTCCATGTGAGTCAGCTCAAGAAATATCAACCCAATTCTTTTCATATTATTGAGTTGGAAGAGGTGGAACTCCAGGAAAACTTAACTTATCAAGCTGAACTAGAGTGGATTATAGATGTGAAAGATCAACAATTGAGGAACAAGACCAATCAATTGGTTAAGATCTTTTAGAAGGGTATGACTCCTGGTGATGCAACTTGGGAGACCAAGGACAAAATGTGGCAATTATATCACTAATTATTTACACAGGTATGTGTTTGAGTAAGATTTTGAATTTTGAGGGCAAAATTCCTAAAAGGAGGGGAGAATGAATTGGAGTGGTGTGGGACATGCTCAAGTAGTTTGACATCATCTGAACCTAATTAAAACAAAAGAAATAAAATAAAAAAGAATTTTAGGGCCTTGTCATACTTGCAAGATGGCACCATCCAATTAGCTTGTATAATATTCCAATGTATGTCTAATTTCCTATGTGTCATCCACAATTTTTAAGCTGATTTGATCTTTAAGTGAACCATGAAAAATGTCCAAACCATCAGCTTTGACCTTAAGGAGTGTTGACTTCAAAATTGATGTACAAATTACATGCCACTTATATCATAAAAATCACATAATTAAATTAAATAACTTATGAAATAATTAAATCTAACTAAATATAGCATTAAATTCATAATTATAAGGAGGAATTTACTAAAATAAACAAGTTTTAGGTTGCACAAAATTATATAAAAATTTTCACATAAAGGCAAACTGAAAACTAGGTCAAACTAAGACAATAAAGAAAGTGTTGACTTTTTATTTAATTACTCTTAAACTAAAATGAATTTCAAAAATCTAATTTGACCATTCATCTTATGGACATTAAATGCACATTGTCACTTTTTCTCATACGTTTTTCTCAAAATTTTATTTTTAGACCAAAATACCCCTAGTTTGCTAAACCTAGACACTTCAGTTATTTTCCAATTCTAATACAATATGTGTACTTTAAGGTGAAAAAATATTAATAAAATGGTCCTAATTGACATAGATATGTGTGTAATAAATGTGTTTTATCACCAAGACCTTTACAAGATTTGTCAAGGGTCAAGAAGATGATAGGCAAGACATCTTTAATATGTTGAAGAAAATTGAGGTGAACATTATAACATCCTAAATTTCTTAATCATGTAATTAGTGGTTAATTGAGGGTAAAGTGGTAATTAGTGTGGGATTAGAGATTTGGATGACTGCTTGATAAATTGTTTTGTTGGCATGTTGTATGAGTAGGTATGGGTTAGAGGATCACATTTCGGGTTGAAGCAAGTGCACGTGGTGAGAATAAATCTCACTGTACCATGCGCCACAGTTTATACTGCATGCGCCGTGACTTATTGACCAAAAAATGCCTTCATAAGTCATGAAATTTTAGAAATTTCAGAAGATTGAAATTTAGAAACACATGAGAAAAGGAGAGAAGAAGGGTTGAGAAGATAGGGCAAGCTATTTCAGGCCATTGGAAGGTTCTTTTGATTGGTAACTTATCAAGTAAGCTACATATAACTCTTACCTTCCATTCTACACAAATTTCTCTTAAAATGAGTTACAGGAAAATTAAATTGGTGGAATTTAAAGGGTTTGATTCTTGTTCCATAGTAATAAAAAGATTCTTGAGAGTTAAATTAGAGCTTTGCGATTGATTTAAAGTTGAACGGTAGAGCTTTAAACCCATAAGCTTAATTTGGCCCTTAGAGAGAGAAAGTTTAGGGCAGAAATCTGATTTGAGTGAAATAAAACTGGTTAAGATGACGTAAAGTAGTAATCAAGTAGTAATAGACCTAAAATGGATAAAAGAAAAAGATTTTACGGATGAATATAGCCCTAAGTAGTAAATATGAGTTTTTTTGGTCAAAATGGACTAAATGACTAAAAGGTGCCAAATGTGTCCAGATTAGCATATTGGACATGTGAGTAGAGAAATGAAGCTACAAATAAGCTATTATGGTAGTTAAAATCCATGGGTAACCTTTCTAGTGATAGAAGGGTTGAAGTAACTGAATAACTTCATTTCTTTGACTGTTTATTATAACTGTGTGTGAGTTTGCTATGTAATGCATGAAAGTATTTTGAACTAAGCATGTTTACATTATGTGATTGTTGCATGAAATAGCCTTTGATTGAATCCAAACATTGAAACGGGTCAGTTTAAATGATATGTTAATATGTACATGTCATATGCATGAGAACAATTGATGAACCCTTTAGTCGCCTTGGGTTATCAAATTTTACTAGAATGTAGAAGTGAGTATTCTAGGTCATTTTCCTAGAGAGCAAAGCATACAAATCATTGTTCAAATGCTTACAAATTAATCTGAATTTTCAAGTGACTAAACTAATTCTATAATGCAACAATAAATGTTTGTAAAATTCTGTTTTAGTTGGAATGAAATGAATGATGATTATGGTGAGCCCAAGTCAGATTTCCTAATATTAATCATTGATTTCCAGAATTATAACATCATAAACCTTCTTGATTAACCTAAAATGAGACACTTAGAAACCTCTAAGTGTGGTGCACCATTAGGCTCAATGGAACTAATGAATCTAGGTCAAGTGAACTTAGAAATTAACACTATATTTAGCCTTGTTCTACACAAGTTTCAAACGAAAACTAGTGGAAGAAAAAAACAGCTTAAGTCAAATTCATATAACCAATATGGATCTAACTCAAGTCTACACAAGAACTTGAACAAGAATCAGCAAGAACTTATGAAATAACCCTAGAACATCAAGGTAAATCATAAATTCCAGAACTGAAAATAGCATGAAAATCTAAATTCAACATTCATATTCTCATCAAATCTGGATTAGAATCACAAAGTCTTCAACCAAAACAGGTTCAAAATTCAAATCCTCAAAGAATCAAAATAAGAACATGAAATCAAGAAAATGAACAACAATTACAAATCTGGAAATCTCATAATGTCAAGTCATCTTTCTTGGAGCTCTAAATGATCAGCCTCTCATGCTCTTCCTCTTTACTTGAATCAGACCTTGAGCTTGAGAAGCTTCCATGGATGAATGAAGATGAAGAAGTTGCAATCTGGAAATCTGGACAAGAGATGGACGAAAATGCAAGCTGGAATGGAGAAGAAAGTGGACAAAAATCTGAATAGAGAAGGAATGATGATCTGGACCAAGTGTTGATGATGGAAGATGAAGAAATGAAATCTGAAAAACGGATGAACAGTGCTGGACGAAAATGAATGAAGAAGAAGAGAGAGAAATATGGCTGAAGTGAGAGAGTGGGATCTGAATTATGAGGCTCTCATCTGAAAATTCAGCTTATGTATGTGTGGAAAATGTGAGTGGTGATAAAACCAAAGTGGATGGTGATAAAAACAAGAAAGGTCCAGATCTGAAATGAGCTAGAAAAATGGACGAAAATAAGCTAAAATGGGAATAAAAATGAGGTGGAAAATGTGGCAAGGGACATGTGAACATGTGTGGGAAATGTGACTCCTCCTTAGGCTCCCAATCAGCTGCCACATGTCATCCAATTAGATCTGATCATGTCACACCTCCCATGCCCCTTTTTCACTTGATGATGTGTCCCTCAATGCTTTCCATGCTCCTTTGATTTTTTATTTAATTAATTCTCCCCAATTAAATCTGAATAATGGTGCTACATCATCCCTCAAATAATTCTGGAATTTGCGCCCAACAGCCCCTAAATTCTTCATCATTATTTATTTGCTATCTCTTGAATTTCTCCAAGCATGTGGACTAGCCTTTGATCCTTGATTCCAAAATTGCCCTCACAAAATCTGAAAATAAAAACACAAGACTAAATAAATTCTAAACAAAAAGAAATAAAAAGGAAAAGAAGAGAATTAATGCCCAAGATCTCAATTTAGGATATGAAAGTGTCAAAACAATTATCAAATAGCACTACTAGGGTTCATAAAGTCAATCTAGAAATGACAACTCAAAACCGGAAATTAAACCCTATTATGCACAATTTGATGCCAAAAACCAAGTGTTTTAACATGTAAAATATGAGACAGATCAGTGTGTAAGGTGATAATAAGAAACCTTAAATGGTTCAAAAAGCATGATCTTAAGGGTGAGAGTTCATCCAAGTAGAGAGGTGATGATAAGACGATATGGCAAATTCTCCTTAGTGCCCGACAGGGTGCGGTGTTGGAGATATACCTCCTTAGTACCTTTTAAGGTGTGGTATTGGAGAAGATCTCTTTAGTACTTATTGAGGTGTGGTATTTGAGATGTGAGACTCATTAGTGTCTATGTGATACAATGTTAAGTCAACGACACCCCATTATGTGTATTAGGAGAAATCATAATCTGTATGTGTAATAGAACATTTTTGGCTGAGTAATTTTACCATTGTAGGTGAGCTCAAGGCTAATAAGAGTGTACATTGGTCTAAAGTAAGCCTATTGTAAATGCCCCAAAAGGGGGTGAATTGGCTAATTGAAAATTTAAATAAAATGCAGTAATAATAAGTGGATGAAGAGACGAAATCACCAATCACAAGAGTTAAAAGAATAGAGTTTGACATAGATGATTTATTCTAGTTTGGCTCCTACCATTTGAGTTTACATCTAGTCCACAGGAACCTCCTGAGATTTCCAACTATATTACTAAGATTAATCCAGGCTCTTAGCTGCCACAATACGTAAATAAAATTTTCAACAAGTCTGAAACTCTCCCCCTTACAAAGATAATAATAAATCCACTTAAGCTCCTCGAGCTTAAGTCCCTCTATTTTGAAGATGTAAAATGGGGATAAACAGAGTAAGTTCAAGAATAAACTACTACTGCTTTTAAACTCTCTTTTAAAGTAGGTATATAATCAATTAAGCTCTCTATCAATAAAATATACATAGAAGGTAGGTGAACTTTGATACTCAATAAATGCAAAATGTTCTTATTGTTCCTCTTACTTTTGTGTTTCATAAAGAAGGATAAATGATCTGTTAGACTCATAAATGTTTTCGTTGGAGGTTTCTTATCATTTGTTTCCTTCTAGCTTTGAGTTTCCTTAGATATCCTAGCTTCTCTAAGGTTCTCTAGTGGATTAGACAATAGAACAATGCTTTACGACAGAGACTTCCTCTTTTGTACAATAGCAGCTAAAAACATTAAATGCTTCTAATCAAAGCAGTTGAAGCTTACACGTTTTGATATAACAGAAAGCAAGCTTGGTGATCAAAACATATATTAGCAGCTAAACGAATTTCAAGAAAATTGATTTTAGATGAAAAGAAGGATTAAAAGATGAGTTCTAATGACCTTCAAAAGAGATATGAAAAATAGAGTACAAAGATTCATAGTAGCACTAGTGTTACTATGATCTAGCACTAGTGTTACAGTCATGAACAGACACAGAAAGAAAGTTGTAGCACAAGTGTTGTCCTTGTAGTATCGATGTAATCCAATACATAAAAGATGAAGACTCTTGATATTTTTGGAAGAATTAAAATATTTTTAAAAATATTATTTAGCACCGATGTTAACAGAAAATAACATTGAAGTAATATATTAATCAAATCCCTTTATATGATAGAAGAAAGGGTAGTATCGGTGTTAAGATGTTAGCATAGGTATTGCACAAAGTTGAGCAAAACTTAGTATAGGTGCTAACCATGTAACATAGGTGATGACATAACCAAGGATAAGTAAAGAATAAAACTGATGTTGAAAAGATAATACCAGTGCAAGGAAAAAGGTTTGAATAATAGAGAGTTAATTGCACAAGCTTTAAAAGGGTAACACTGGTGTTAGAATGAGTAGGACAGGTGTTATATGAACTATGAATCAATAGAACAATGAAGATAACAAAGGTAACACTAGTATTAAGGCATCTAGTCCTAATGTTATCAACACTTAGAAATATTTTTGAACAAATAACTTTAAGTATAAACGATTATAGTTAAGTCAAATACTTAACTAACATGTTAGCATACTTCTATTCAAATAAGCTCTCACTTAGTCAGTTTTAATGTTAAGCTAATTATTTTAATTAAGAAAGCTTGAAATGCACAAAACTTCTCTTTATTTTATAATCACCAAAACTAGGGTTCAACACCTATGGTTTCATGTCGAGGTGATTTGGAGGTTCGGTCAATAGTGATCATGCTATAAGATGCTATAAAATGTTATGTGAATGGTGAAAAGTTGGGAATGGATATATGATGTAAATCCTATGTTAATGAGATTTAAATCGTATATTATGCTTTACTTCTACATTGTTACTTGTGATAGTCAATAAGAGTGAATTATTTTGTTACTGAGATTTTTATCTCACTCTTATGGTTACATGTTTACAAGACAGGGTAGTGAGTTGGGCAATGGAAGAGAGTCTAGACTGGTTTGAGTTGTTAAAGTAGTGTATACTCTAATTTGTGTAATGAACTAAACTAAGAAGTTGTATGTATATGTGTAGATGAATTGCCACAGGGTTGCATGCATGACTTGAGTAGTCATTTTGTGGAATCTTAGCCTAATTGTATGTATTTGTGATGAAATGAATCAAGGGGTTATGATTTGAGTATGCTTGCATTGAATTATTGTTGATATTGGTTAATCTTAAGCCCAAGTTAGAAATTATGATGAAATGAGTAATTTGTAGCTAAGATTGTAATGTAAATGTAAATATGTATGTTTATGTTGAGAAAAAGGCCTAGTAGCCTATATTATGCCAAGTGTTGGCAATTTATGCAAGCTTGTGAAATGTGAAAATTGGCCAAAAAAGGGTCAAATTTCAATATACGTATATGATTGTGATAGATTTTGGTTAATCAGGTATGTTAGGTCCTTTTGGACTTGATTCAAGGCCTTGTGTGGTCTAATCAGAGAAAGGGATCGATTTGAGCGCTTAAGTGCGTGAATTTTTTAAAAAAAGTGACTTGTTATACCTGAATGTCCAAATTTTGATCAGATCGTTAAATCATATCCAAATTTGTCTCATTAGTTAGCTTATGAGTTAAGCTACATATGGGTGCTTGAACACTCCGATCGGATATCGTATGTGAAAATGGCACATGCCGAAAATTCATCATTTTTACTATCAAAATGATAGCAGAAATTCAAACAGCTGCATCATAGTGCATGGTGAGATATGCTGTGGTGTAAGCACAGAAAGTTTGGGCTTGTGGCTCTGTACCATATGCCACGATGGACGTAACACACTGCGATGCATGGCCTTAATTCCAACCTAATTTTTATGGTTTTAAGGAATGCAACAATGGAGGTGAATGTATATAGGTTATTTTTGCTACGTATTCTAATGTATTATGGTTTTTTATGATTCTGTGGAACAAGTCTTTGGTTGAAGCTTTTTAAACTAAATTTCTTATTACTAATTATGTGTTTAAAGAGTAATTTTGTTAATCTTCTCCTGTATCTAGAGGATATAGGAGGAGGTTACAAACATTCCATTGCTTGACATAATCAAGAGTATGCCTAAGTGTGCCAAATTCTTGAAAAAGTTGTGCACAAATAAGAGAGTTTCAAGCATCTTGCTACTTTCAACTTGGCCATTTTATTAGTGCAATTTTCAAGCCTCAATAGCCTATCAAAGTGCAAGGATCCAAGGACATGTGTAATTCCAATCCAAATTGGAAATGTGGTGATTCAAGAAGCCCTTGTTGACTTAGGAGTTGCCATAAATATGATGTCCAATCATATATACACTTCTTTGAATATGGGAGGATTGAAAGAATTTAGTGTGATCTTGTAACTTGCTCATCAAAGTATAGGGAAACCTAAGGGATTTTTGGAAGATATCTTGGTGAAAGTGCAAGACATAGTATTTCCAATAGATTTTTTTGTGCTAGACATGCAAGAGGGAGGATAAGGCACACTCATTCTCGGATGACCATTCATGATGACCTCAAGTTTCATTTTGAATATAAAGGAAGGTAAACTCACAATTGAGTTTTTAGAAAACAAAATTGAATTTAATATTTTTGATAGCTTTAAAAACTATTATGTGGATTATAGCCTTCACTTTGTTGATTTCATTAAGGATACACTTGATACGATCATTGATGAGGTTTCCATGCCTCTTAGATTTGAAAATGTTGAATCCTTGCTAGTTTTACTTGTTTAGACACTTATGATTCTATTTGTGTGAATTGCAATGAGGTGGTATTAATTTTATCTAATTTGCTAGAGTATGATGAGTTGCATTCACATGAGGATGAACACATGGATAACATACATAATTCATCCACTATCA